ATAGCTCATAAAATTATGAATTTTGGTTTCAGCGAAACTATTTATCAATAGGTCAGAAATGACCAAAAAATGCGTGTTATAGCCCATAAAATTGTAAATTTGGCCTCCGCAAAACTATTTACTAATAATTCTAAACTACTAAAAATGGTCAATAATTGTGGGTTGTAGTTCATGAAATCGTAAATTTGAACCTCCACGAAATTATTTGCCAATGGGCAAAAAGTTCATGGGCTATAACTAACAAAATCGTGAATTTTGTTCTTAGCAAAATTATTTACCAATGGGTCGAAACAATATGATATAGCTAAAAATATGAATTTTGGCCATATCATATAAATCTTTTGCCAATAGGTCAGAATGTCTAGAAATGACCACTAATCGTAGGTCATAGCTCTTGACATCATAAATTTTGGCTATAGCGAAATTATTTACCAATTGGTCGAAACAAGTAAAAATGGCTAAAAATCATGGGTAATCGCTCACGAAATCATAAATTTTGGTCTTTGTGAAATAATTTCATAATGGGTTGAAATGACTAAAAATAGCTAAAATAATGGGTTATAGCTCATAAAATTGTGAATTTGGTTTTTGTGAATTTATTTACCGATGGGTCGAAATGACTAAAAATAGCCAAAAATTAGGGGTTGTGTATCATGAAATCATGACTTTTTGTCTCTGCGAAATTATTGAACAATAGGTCAAAATGAATAAAAATGGGCAAAAATCAAAGGTTATCGCTCATAAAATTGTTTATTTTATCCTTCGCGAAATTGTTTGCTAGTTGGTCGAAATGATTTGAAATGTTATAAGTCATAGGTTGTAGCTCGTGAAATCATGAATTTGGTCCTCTAAGAATTTTTTTAGTGGTTCGAAATGACTAAAAATTGTCAAAAATTATGGTTATAGCTCATGAAATCATGATTTTTGGCCTTTGTAAAATTATTTGTCATGATGATGAATTGATAAAAATGGCAAAAAATTATAGGTTATAGCCTTTGAAATTGTAAAGTTTGGCCTCCGCGAAATTTTATCAATGGGTTGGAACTAGGGGTGCCAAACGGTTCGGATATATCCGAACCAATCCGCATTCGTATCCGAACGGATACGGATATGGTAAGCTAATTTTGAAATCGGGTGGATACAGTTTCTGATACGGATCCGGTTTCAAATTTTTTTCGGATACGAATTCGAATACGGATACGAGGATTGCGGATACGGATATCCGCAATGTAAAAATGATTCGGGTAATTGGGTCCCAAATTTATAATAACAAACCCGCTAACCCAAAACTAATGGTAAAAAGTAAAAACCCTAGTGTGAATCACATTCCGTCTCTAGGCCCTCCACTCTTCATCTCCATCCTCCGGCCCCTCCTCAATTTCAACCTCCGCCCTCTCCTCAATTTCAGCCTCTACGCGTCGCCTGAGTCCCGCGTCGCCTGCGTCTAGCCACCCGTGTCGCTCGCGTCCCCCTAACATTTTCACTCTCCAAATTCTCTCAATCTCTTCCTCCGCTCCCACGATGAGCTCCCTCATGCTCACCTCCCCGTCGCCCTCCTCTCTCCGGCGAGCCTCATTTCCCTCTTCCTCTCCCCAGGCTCCGAATTGGCGCTGCATTTGAATTAGGGAAAAATGCTTCCAGCCCCCAAAAGCCAAGTGAACATGCTTCCCACCCCCAGGACTTGGTCAATGGGCGTTTTACCCCTAAAAATAAAGAATCTGTTCTCTGAGCCCCCAAAACACAAAACCCAAGACATTAAAACATGTGAAGACCATAATACCCTTCTCTCTCTCTCTTTTTTTTATTAAAATATGATGAGGATTATTTTATTATTTTTTTCTCTCTCTCTTTATCATGATGTACTGAGATGATAGTTGAAATGATTGATGAGAATTATTTTATTATTTTCGTTTTTTATTATTTTGGTTGTTTGTATTGGGAGGTTGTTAAAGTTACGGGTTGATTGTTAAGGTTACGGGTTGGTTGTTAAGGTTAAGGGTTTGTTGTTAAGGTTATGAATCCTCTCTCTCTCTCTCTCTTTTTTTTTATTAAAATATGATGGGGATTATTTTATTATTTTTGTTTTTTCTCTCTCTTTATCATGATGTACCAAGAGGATAGTTGAAATGATTGATGAAGATTATTTTATTATTTTCGTTTTTTATTAACCTTAACAATTAAACCCGTAACCTTAACAATTAAACACGTAACCTTAACAATTAAACCCGTAACTTTAACAACAAATCCGTAACCTACACAACAAACTCATAACCTTAACAACAAACCCTTAATCTTAACAACCAACCCGTAACCTTAACAATCAATGCATAACCTTTACAACCAACCATTATCCTTAATAACGAATATTCTAAAAATACAAAAAGAATAAAAAACAAAAATAATAAAATAATAATCCTCTTTAATCATTTCACATCATCAAAGAAACATCATGATAGAGAGAGAGAGAGAGAGAGAGAGGATTCACATCCTTAACAACAAACCCTTAACCTTAACAACCAACCCGTAACCTTAACAATCAACCCATAACTTTAACAACCTCCCAATACAAACAACCAAAATAATAAAAAACGAAAATAATAAAATAATCATCATCAATCATTTCAACTATCCTCTTGGTACATCATGATAAAGAGAGAGAGAAAACAAAAATAATAAAATAATCCCCATCATATTTTAATAAAAAAAGAAAGAGAGAGAGAGGATTCACAACCTTAACAACAAACCCTTAACCTTAACAACCAACCCGTAACCTTAACAATCAACCCGTAACTTTAACAACCTCCCAATACAAACAACCAAAATAATAAAAAACGAAAATAATAAAATAATGCTCATCAATCATTTCAACTATCCTCTTGGTACATCATGATAAATAGAGAGAGAAAACAAAAATAATAAATAATCCCCATTATATTTTAATAAAAAAAGAAAGAGAGAGAGAAGGGTATTATGGTCTTCACATGTTTTAATGTCTTGGGTTTTGTGTTTTGGGGGCTCAGAGAACAGATTCTTTATTTTTAGGGGTAAAACACCCATTGACCAAGTCCTGGGGGTGGGAAGCATGTTCACTTGGCTTTTGGGGGCTGGAAGCATTTTCCCCTTATTAAAATATAGGGGATTTTAGATATTATTCTATCACATCATATGTATTTTGATATTAGTCCCTCAAATCTTCATATTTTGATATTAGTCTACTTGTTGTCATTACCGTGTTGATATTAGTCCCTGTAAATAGTTTCGTATTATACTTTCTACGAAAATTTCATTAACTCTTAACTTTTTGGATGGACTGAACATTATACCCTTTGGATTATAAACCAAACTCATTATTTATTTAACTTATACCTGCTTGAAAACCTTAAAGTCGTTTAATCACAAACCAAAACCCAAACTCATTTCGACCCTTGTCTTCTTCCTTTCATCCCTTTGATTTCTAAACAATTTATCAACCTCAACTTCTTTCTACTTTCACCTTCTTCAAACAAGAAGAGGAATATAACCCTAAATGTTTTCATCAAAAGAGCAATAAGCTCTTACATAATGAGTACTTACCAGAAATTCAAAATACCCCCATCTCAAGCTCATGGCTTCTTCCCCTCTTCATCAATCTTCATAATTCTAAGATCAAACTCTTCTCTTCCTCCCATTTTTTTAACACAAACCACATCATCAGAACTCATTCATTCCCTCTAACACAATCAACAACAACAACATGTTCATGCTCAAAGATCCTAAACTCCCTTGTAGAATCAAATTTTCACTATGTCGCCTCAAACACCACGACCCAGCAAACCCTTAATGAGATCACAGCCTCACCTTGTAGCCTCATCAAGAAAACCCCCCACACCTCGTCAACAAACTTGAATGAGATATTAGATTGAAACTGTGAGCAAAGGAGGAAGTGGTGGAATGGGGAAGAGGAAAAAAAGGATTTTTGGGGAATTCAAACAAAGAGTTATTTACAACCAACCCGTAACCTTAACAATCAACCCGTAACTTTAACAACCTCCCAATACAAACAACCAAAATAATAAAAAACGAAAATAATAAAATAATGCTCATCAATCATTTCAACTATCCTCTTGGTACATCATGATAAATAGAGAGAGAAAACAAAAATAATAAATAATCCCCATTATATTTTAATAAAAAAAGAAAGAGAGAGAGAGAGAGAGGATTCATAACCTTAACAACAAACCCTTAACCTTAACAACTAACCCGTAACTTTAACAATCAACCCGTATCTTTAACAACCTCCCAATACAAACAACGAAAATAATAAAAAATAAAAATAATAAAATAATCCTCATCAATCATTTCAACTATCCTCTTGGTACATCATGATAAAGAGAGAGAGAGAGAGAGAGAGAGAGAGAGAGAGAGAGAAATAATAAAATAATCCTCATCATATTTTAATAAAAAAAGAAAGAGAGAGAGAAGGGTATTATGGTCTTCACATGTTTTAATGTCTTGGGTTTTGTGTTTTGGGGGCTCAGAGAACACAATCTTTATTTTTAGGGGTAAAACACCCATTGACCAAGTCTTGGGGGTGGGAAGCACGTTCACTTAGCTTTTGGGGGCTGGAAGCATTTTTCCCTTTGAATTATTATACTGTGATTAGTTTCAAGATTACTGCTTTGGGTTTGTGTTGAGGGCGGTTGACATGGGTTTCATTCAAAATTTCATCTTTGATTAGTTGAGCGGTTTAAGATGAGTTTGTGGATTGTTTATAGATAACCCATTTGATGAAATTTCTGTTTTATTTATTTTGTTCTATTAATGAATGGGATCTGGGATCGCTTTAAATTGTTTATCTTTTTATATTTTTCAATGAAGTTGGTGCTATAAATTATAATTTGCATGTAGGGAAGTGGTTGGTATTTCTTCGTTCAATTTCTTTATTCATTATGCTATCGTCTCATCCGCTATGAAATTCTGATGTTTTAATTTACATTTTCTATTTCCTAAATGCTATACAGGCACACTCTTCAGAGAAGTCTGTGCAGTTACAAGCCTCAAAAATGGCCCTATTTTGGTACTTTGAGGTTAGTAATTCTATTGAACTTCTTGTTGAATATTGAATGTTATGAAATGTTGAATGTTGTCTGTACTTTTTTGCCTTCATCTTTCAATTCATAGACATTTGAAATTCTGGATACGATTGTTGTAATTTGGTTATAATTCCAGACACTATTATTTTAGGTGGGATGCTACTGAAGATTTTGGATGAAGATTATATGTCTAATAAATTTGTGCTCAATTTTAGTTTTCAGCTGATGGTTTTGGATAAGATTATGTCTAATAGATTTATGTTGAATATCCGTTTATATCCGTGATCATATCCGATCCGATTCTCAAATATCTGAACCGTATTCGTTTTCGATAAGTGCGGAAATGGTTAAGGTTTTTTCTTACTGAAAGTGATCCGTATCCGTTTATAAAAAGCGGATATGGATATGGTAAGTGTCATATCCGAACCATATCCGCTCTGATAACACCCCTAGTTGAAATGATTAAAAATAACCAATAATTCATGAGTTATAGCTCATGAAATGCTAAATTTTGGTCTCAGTGTCATTATTTGCCAGTGGGTTGAAACAGCTAAAAATGACCGATAATCGTGGGGTGTAGCTCATGAAATCGTGAACCGTAAAAAAATTCATGGGTTATAGCTCATGAAATGTTGAATTTTGGTCTCAGTGTCATTATTTACCAGTGGGTTGAAACAGCTAAAAATGACCGATAATCGTGGATGATAGCTCATGAAATAGTGAACCGCAAAAATTATTTGTCAATGGTTCGAAACGATCAAAATGGTAAAAAATTGTGAGGTATATCTTATGAAATTATGAATTTTGACTATTGCAAAATTATGTGTCAATGTGTCAAAACGACTAAAAATGATAAATCATAGGTTATAGCTCATGAAATCGTGAAATTTTATTTCTACGAAATTATTCGACAATGGGTCGAAATGACTAAAAAAAGAAAAAATTTCATAGGTTAGAGCTCATAAAATTGTTAATTTTGATATCTGCAAAATTATTTGTTAATTGGTCGAAACGATCGAAAATGACATAAATCATAGGTTGTAGCTCATGAGATCATGAATTTTGGTCTGTGAAATTTTTTACTAATAGTTCGAAACAACTAAAAATTACAAAAATCGTGGGTTGTAGCTCGTGAAATAATGAATTTTGGTCTTCACGAAATTATTTACAAACAGGTCAAAACGACTAAAAATAGCCAAAATTGTGAGTTATAACCCATGAAATTGTAAATCTTAGCCTCCGCGAAATGATATGCTAACAATTAGAAACGAATAAGATTGGCCAATAATCGTGAGTTATAGCTCATAATATCATAAAGTTGGTCTTTGTGAAATTATTTACTAATATGCTGGAATGATTAAAAATGCAAGAAAATCATGGGTTATAGCTCATGAAATTATGATTTTAGTCTCCGCAAAGTTATTCACCAATGGGTCGAAATGACTAAAAACGATAAAAAATAAGGAATTATATAGCTTATGAAATTGTGAATTTTTGTATGCATGAAATTATTTGCTAATGGGTCAAAACAACTAAAAATGGCTAATATTTGTTGGTTGTACCTCATGAAATCGTGAACTTTGGTCTTTGCGAAATTATTCGTCAATGCTTCGAAACAAAATTATTTGCCAACTTGTCCTGCATAAATTATTTCATGCATACTCTGAATTTTCTAAATTTCTATGAATTATAACCCTTGATTTTGATCGTTTTTCATTGAATCACAAATTTCCATCACGCGTAAATCATATTATGCCGACACTAAAATTCAAAAAAGTTATGTGGACAATAGCTCATGATTATAGCCGTTCTATAGAGCACAAAACTGGTGTCCCAAAGAGAATAATTTATGTATACACTGAAAATTTTGAATTTATGTCGACTATACGTTTTGACAAAATCACAAAATGCTGTCCCACATGGAATTTATTGTGTCCTTCAAAATTCTCGAATTTTGTGAACTATAATCCTTTATTGTGGCCATTTTCAAGCAAATCACAAAATTTCTTCCCGTAGAGAATAGTTTATGCATGTTTTTGAATTCCCATAGTTTTGTGCACTATAACTCATGATTATGATTGTTTTTTCACCAAAGCACATATTGTGGTCCCACATAATGTTTTATGCGTGCTCAAATATTCTTTAATTTTTGCGGACTGTAACCATGTTTGGCCATTCTCTAGCAGCTCAAGTTGTGCCGCATAGAATAATATATGTATGCTTTGAAGTTCTTGAATTTCAATGGACTATAACCCATGGCTTTCGCTTTTTTGACCAAATTACAAGTTGGGCTCCCTCGTGTCACATGTAGTACAAAATTCTCGAATTTTTGTGGACTATTAAGTCTATAACACATGATGGTGGCCCTTTTTGACCAAATCACAAATCATCATCATCCTCCATAGAATGTTATTCATACTCTAAAATTCTCGAATTTATGTGTACTATAGCTCATGATTTTATGTATTTTCCACCTAATCACAAATTGTGATCATGCATAGAATATATTATGTGCAGTCCAAAATTCCTGAAATTGTGTGGACTTACTTGTGATTGCGCATGGTTTTGATAAAATCACAAAATTTCTTCCCATAAAGGATATTTCATGCGTGCTCTTAAATATTTGAGTTTCTGTGGATTATAACCCATTATTTTGGTTATTTTCTAGTAAATCATAAGTTACCATCGCACATAGAACACTGTACCTGAAGTTTTCGAATTTTTGTTGACTATATAGTCCATGATTTTGGTTATTTTTTACCTAATCACAAATTGGTGTACTGTCTAGAATTCTCATATTTATGTGGACAATAACCCATGATTGTGGCAATTTTCGACCATATCAAAACATGCATTGTACAGAGAATATTTTATGCGTACTTCGAAATTTTTGATTTTCTATAACCCAAGATTTTTTTCATTTGTCAACAAATTCACAAGCTGTCCCTCATAGGTTACTTTATGCATGCTTCAAAAGTTCTGAATTTCTATGGACTATAGCCCTTGATTTTGGTCGTTTTCCACCAAATTACAAATTGCTATCAAGCGTAAAACATATTATGCCTACACCAAAATTTGAGGGGACTCCTCACTCAAGATAGCTTGCACAGAATGCATATTACTTCAGAAAATTCATGTGTTTTCTGTGGTGGGTTTTAATCTTGGAGTGGGTGGGTTTTAAACTTAGAAGTTAAGCTGCAAGGGTCTTGCCTATAATGAAAAAAAATCAAAAGCACTGCGTATGCTGCCACTACATACTTAATTTGGATGGAGAGAAACCAAAGATTATACGCAGGGCAGTAGAGGACTGTGGTGATAATAGTAAAGCTAATTAAGATCCAGGTGTTCATATACATTCACTATCATCCAGTTTCGGGTAAGTTCAAGTTTTGAATTGATAAACCGAAGTAGATTTGGCATGATGATTTGATTCTCTAATGTGGGAGATGAGTGAGCTTTATTGAGAGCTTTTATGTACTTTGTTTTCACTCTTGTATGCCTAGGAACGCCTGGGAAGTGTATGTATGCATTTTTCAAATGGTAAATGTAAATTCCGAGATCTATGTGAACAGTAACTCATGAGTCAAAGAGCCTGGTCTCCTTTGGTGGGGTGAATTATAATTCTAGGCCTCTTATTCTCCAATATTTGCACTTCTCTGAAGGCACCCTCCCTGTTAAATACTTGGGCATTCCTCACTCTTCTAAATCTCTTTCTGCTCATGATTGCGATGTTTTAATTGAGAGAATTATTCAAAATATTTACTTTCTGAACTTCCATACTTCTCTCTTTTGCTAGAAGACTACAATTGATTAAATCTATCATATATAGCATGCATAACTACTGGGGGAGCATTTGGGCCTGCCATAAAAGATTATCGAATTTGTGGAAAAAACGTATGCAGGAACTACTTGTGGTCTGGAGAACCAAATAGCCATAAGAAGTCTAAAGTGGCTTCGTCTACTGGATGTTCTCCTAAAGATTGTGGCGGTTTGGGTCTACAGAATATGGAATTTTTCAATAAGGCTCTGATGATTAAGAATATTCAGGCTATTGTTCTCAAACCCGACTCTATTTGGGTGGGATGGGGTCATGGTTTTTATTTAAAAAAATATGATTTCTGGTCCCTTGAAATCAAGAGTAATTTTTCTTGGGTTTTCAGAGAGTTTTTGAAGCTCAGAGAATTGGCTTTGTTATACATTGATAGCTCTGTTTGGGTGTTAGCTATGAAGGTGTGAAACCTGCTTTTAGTGCCTCCGCTACATAGGCAACTATTATTGGTAATATGGAAAGGAAGCAATGGGTCAAACTCGTTTGGACCAGGTATACCATTCCTAAGCATGCATTCATTTCTCAGATTGTATGTTTAAACAGATTACCTACTCGAGATAAACTCAAAACGGTATGGCACTCTTGAAGATGGCATATGCCCTGTATGTGAGACGAAGGCGGAAAATAGGGATCATTTGTTTATAGAACGTCTCTTTAGTTCTCAGCTGTGGACCAAAGCCATGAAGTTTGTTCAAATCAATGATGCTACTGTCCAAAGGAATGATGCTGTTATTTGGATGGAGCAGAATTGGAGTAGTTCTGCTATTAATTGCATCAAACATGCAGCTACAGTTTCGTGCATATAGATCTGGATTGCGATAAATAGTGCGGTTTTCCAGAACAAGAGACTGTATTGGAGGATTGCTTAAAGATTTTTTAACATGAAGTTAAATTTTAGTGCAGTCGAATTCAGAGGCTCCAAAGATCCAAGAGTAATATGCAAGCATGTGCTGCCATGCATATAGAGTTGGAGTTTCTGTCGAAGAAAGGAAAACTTTGGAGTCTTTTGTAGTTTCTTTTGTGTGCAGGCTCTCCTAACTGGGTTCTGTGTTATAACTGCTTTTATGAGAGGATTTTGGTTATTTTTCTTGTTTTATATGCCCTCACAGCTTTGTTTTGAGAGGCATATCTCTTGTATACAATTTTGTAAGAACTCATAATGCTTACTGGTAAATAAGAATTATCACTTACCCAAAAAAAAAAGAAACTCATGATGGCTGTTTGACCAAAGCACAAATTGCTGTGGCAAAGAGAAAATGTTATGCATTACTCTGAAAATTTTGATTGATGTGGACTATAACCCATAATTTTGGTTGTTTTTAAGTAAATTAGAAATTGTCGTCCTACATAAATATTTTATGCGTACTATAAAATTCCCAAATTTTTGTGAAATATAATCCATGATTTAGGTCATTTTCAGTCAAATCACAAAATGTCGTGCCACATGGAAGATACTGTTCCCCCCAAGCTTATTAAATTTTTGTTTACTTTGGCCCATGATTGTGACTATTTTTGACTAAGTCATAATTTATCTTCCTACATGATTTTAGTCATTTCGACCAACTCACAAGTTTTCATCCTTCATAGATTATTTTATGCATAACTCGAAATTGTTGAATTTCTAAGGACTATAACACATGATTTTAATTGTTTTCCATAACACATGGTTATGACTATTTTCCACCAAATTTAAAAGTTTCCATTATGCATAAAATTGATTAGGCATACAGCAAAATTTTCAAATTTATGTGGTATAATACATGATTATGGCTATTTTAGACCAAATCACAAATTGTCTTCCCTTAAAAAATATTTTATATGTACTCCAATATTATTTAATTTATCTGGATTATAACCCATGTTTAGCTGTTGTTGAGCACATCACAAGTTGTCGTCTCATATAGAATAAGTTGTGTAGACCATGAAATTCACAAATTTCAGTGTACTATAACTCATGATTTTGGTCGTTTTTTACCAAATCATAAATTGGTGTACCACATGGAATATATAGTTTGTGTCCCCTAAAATTCTCAAAAATTTTTTGAACTATAACTCATGATTGTCGGCATTTTCGAAATCACAAATTATTGTCCTACGGAGAATATTTTGTGTTTGCTCCGAAATTTTCATATTTTTATAGACTATAACCCATGCTTTTGGACATTTTTGACCAATTCATAAGTTGTCATCCCGCATAGATTATTTTATTGTATTCATAGTCCCAAATTTCTTAATTTCTATGGCTTGTAAGTACATGATTTTGATTGTGTTCCACCAATTTTTTTAATTGTCATCATGCATAAAATTAATTTTACGCACACCAAAATTTATGAATTTATGTAGACCATATAACTCATGATTATAGTTGTTTTCCACCAGAGCAAATTGCCATCCCACAGAGAATATTTTATGCATACTTTATTATTTTTGAATTTCAATGACCAAACATCCGTGTGCACATAATCTAATATCCTTCTGCTCTTGTGATTGCTTCTCAGAAATTAAACCATGTGCGCCTTTCCATACACACAATCCTCGCAAAAATCCATGCAATGTTTCTTCAGATTCTTCAGCAAACCCTTTTTACCAAGCAGATTTAGGCCATTCTCTGACATGTGCTAAAGCCGTCTATGCCATAATCGTGTGTTCTCACATCGGTCTTCATCAGTTCCAACCGCTGCATCTCCTGTCACTGTTGTACCCGAGAGAGTATATAGATTACCGTGACGAATACCCTTCATCATTGCTAAGGAACCCCTGAACAACTTTCTTTACTCCGTTCTTTGTTATTATTCTGCAACCACCGGAGTCTAAAGCACCAACTGAGATAAGATTCTTTCGCAAGTCAGGAACGTGCCTCACATCCGTCAGGGTTCTGACCACTCCATAATGCATCTTGATTTTGATATCGCCAAGCCTCACCGTTTTACAAGCATGGCTATTCCCCATCAATAAGGTTCCACCATCAATGCTTCTATAGGTAGTAAATCACTTCCTATTTGGGCACATATGGTAAGAGCAACCGGAATCAAGAATCCACTTACTGGAGGTATCTTCGCCACCTGTAACAACATAGAATTCTTTATCGCTCCCTTCCTCCGAGACGTAACTCGCCTCTTGCTTGCATTCTCTCCTCTCTCGGTTTTATTGTTGTTCTTTTTCCCACCTACTCTCTTATTAGGACAGTCGACCTTGAAATGCCAACTTCACCGCATTTGAAACACGCTCTCTCTTCCCGCAAGAGGTCTTGATTTAGATCTAGACTTTCCTCTCTTGTCTTTTCCTCGCTTATTGCTCCTTCCTCTAGCAAACAATCCATGTGCTTGTTCTTTATTATCACCAATAGTCATGTCATTGGTTACAATATTCCGAAGGTAATCTGCTAGAAACGTCGTTCTAGTCTCATCCATCGTCAAATTATCTCCCACAAGCATCAGTGTTTGCACCAGGTTCTCATAAGACTTCGGCAGAGATAGAATTAGTAAAAACGCATGATCCTCGTCTTCAACTGCCACGTCTATGTCCTTTAAGTCTGATATGATCCTATCAAACTTGTTGATGTATTCTCGGATTGATGAGCCCTCCTCCATCTTGCAAGTATACAATTTGGATTTCAAATAGATCCGGTTCGTTAGACTCTTCGTTATGAAGGTGTTTTCAAACTTCGACCACACGCCCGCAGCCGTTTCCTCTCCATCTACTAAGAAAGCTACATCCCTTTCAAGGCAAAGGATAATCGACGTCCGTGCTCCCAGATCAGCTCCTCCCAATCCTCATCAGACATATCCTTATGCTTCTTCTCTTTTCCAACCAAAGCCTACAATTTTTACGAAATCAACGAGTTTTTTTATCTGTATCATCCAATAGGAGAAATCATTCTTCCCATTGAACTTTTCGATCTTGTACTTTCCAACTTTAACTATTTTACTTATTGATGTTATTCTCCGCTTGTATAAATAAATCAGTTTCTCTTAGGAATTCCAACAAATAACTTGTGTTCACCACACAATAATCAAAGCACCACCTTAGATCAGAAATTTTACCGCCTCCAATCTGAATAAAGGGTTCTGATACCAATTGTTGGGCGTAGTGTCACACCCTCACGTCGCGGAAGCGATATCACCCGAGAGAAAACCCTACCTTTTATTTTCACAAAAGCTCAAGTCAATCTCTATATTCTCGTTTCACAAAGGAAACAAGAACAGAAGTGAAATATCTCAACAAAGTAAGATATACACTCTTCCTCTCAGCAGTTCTGGGACTGAATGTCGAGGGAACCTATAAGCAATAGCCAACTCTTGTTCCAGCTCAACCTCTCATCAGTTCTAGGACTGACTTGTCGAGGGAACCTAAAAGCAAAACCAACTCCCGGTTAAGACACGAGATTTACGTGCTTCGGCCCTTGCCTACGTCCACGGAAGGGGGTTTTTACTATGAGGAGAATACCAAACTTGTACAACTCACAAACTCTCTCTCTCTCTCTGATTTTTCTCTCTTCAAAATCTCTCAAGAATTTCCACTCTTATTTTTTTCTTCCCCACACAACTTCTCCTCTCTTCCTCTCTATTTATAGGCAAGAGAGAATGGGCTAAACCAAGAGTAAGAGAGCATGGGAGGTATGGGTGTAGGCTGTCTAAAAATCACAATGGATAGCTGATCCAAACAAGTCCTGACAATAGGAGTTACAATCA